ATAGCTTTTTGTTTCAGGCGAATATGAAATTATAAAGATGCACAATACAAACTTGATCCTGTACGATGGTTACACATTCTCACACCGCGGCAGTTCCTATTACAGAAACTATTACTGTTCCCAGAAGATAAGCAAGAAATGCAAGGCTAAATTGAAAATTGCAAAAGATGGCACTCTGGAATGGGTTTATAATATGCATACTCATGACAGACCTATGATAAATAGGAAAGATGTAAAAAAACCATAATAAGTATTACTTACTTAACACTTATTCGTTTCGCGTTCACTCATTATCTATAATCGAAGCGCATCTAAGTGAAAATGTTATTATTGTTACGTGCCTGACGTCACGTTCCTGACTATGCGGGCTTGGGTTACGGGATTGGATGAAATGAAACACTAATACCGGTTTTCAGACTTTCTATTGCACTTAAGTTACAGCGTCCACGGAGTTAAGTTATAGGCGTTCCTCTCCAGCAGAGTCCGGCCGACTGACACAACTTTGCCGTTCACGCTGACTTAACTCACTTAACTGACTGCACTTCACTATTTCACTCACTTTTCTTCTTTCTCACTTCTTCCTTTTCTTCCGAATCGCTTTAGACTTAGAACTCAACTGCCAGCGGTGAGCCGCAGTTCCACTTATATACCCCCCCGTCAGGTTCTGGAACATTCAATTTCGTTATTCTTTTTGATCGTCATGCCTCCAGAACCTTCCAATAATTTCGTTATTCATTTTTATTTATTCTCCTTCTCGCTCTTTAATTTTTCATTCTTTTCACACAAATAAATTCCAGAAAGTTCGACAAAACTTCCATCAACTAAAAAACTTCATGTTTACGGCGGGACTCGAACTCGGGGTCTCTGTGGTGTAATCCAAACGTCTTACCGATTACACCAACTCGTGTTGACAATTCAGGACGAAATTTACAATCTCTAGGCAACGTTTGACAACCATCCATTGACGTCATGATGTCTAAGAGTTTGAACCACTTTTCCGTCACATTATTATTTTTGACGACATACATAGGTCGGCAAACAAGCAAACGGATTACCTACCTGATGTTAAGCAATCGAAGCCGCCCATGGAAACCCTCAATATCAGAACAAGCAATGTAAACAGCTTTTTGGAGATTTAATATGTTGGGAAGAATTGGCAACCTTAACATACACGTTGAAACATTGTTTCACACCAGTTTTCGGTGAGGTCTTGGTATAAGGTACTTCGGTCGTTAGTTCATCGGTTCCTAGCTTACATAGCAAATTTCACCTTATTTCCGTAGCGTAATACATATATTAGTTTGGATGTTATTAAGACGCCGTCGAATGTGCGCGAATACGCGCGTCGTTGAGCGCGTTTTGGATATAGTGTCGCTTCGATGCGCTTCTTCGCTTTCAAATTAACCTTAAGTAGTTTAATAGGCTTAAAACTAGTTTTACGAAAGTGCGTAATTTTAATTTTACTATATCAATTAATGTGCACATGGTAAAACCAATCAAACTGACCGTCAAATATATGGAAAGATCATTCACAGCGAGATCATGATAAATTGGTTCATTACATCTTGCTGTGTAACCGTGTGTACGTAAGTAGATTTTAGCTTATTAAAATTATATGAATACTCTTAAATAATATAGCAGTGGTGGTGGAATATAGGTAATGTTAGTTAATAGTCGGTTCTCGCCTACATAAGTATCTTAAAGTTGTGTGTAGTGCAATTACTTGGTTCTCAATATCACTTGTTTAAGCTTACATCTGAGGATTTAATAGCTTCTGCCACAGTTTTGCCTGCTTTGTAGAAATAAGAAGTAGCCTATGTATTATTATTCAAACTTTTAAATGTATGTGAAATCTCATTAACTTGAAAGAGTAGCTCACAGATTACAGACATCTACATCCATACATTGACACATATATAGTTAATTTTGCATTTATATTAGATACTAGTAAATAAAGTTATGCATAGAAATACTAGTAGAATACGAAGAGTCTAATGCTAGTTATTTTTACGTTAACGCCATTTTATCGCGATAAGCCCTCTGATTGGTTGGTTAACTTGGAGCTGGCCAATCACAGCGCTCCACGTCAGAAACGTGCCGATCATCATCAGCCTATAAGTGCCCACTGCTGAGCAAAGGCCTCTTCTCATACGGAGAAGGTTAGAGCATTAATCACCACGCTTGCTCAATGCGGGTTGGCGATTTCAAACTTATAATTAGAAATTATAAGTCCAGGTTTCCTCACGATGTTTACCTTCACCGTATGTCAGTGGTGTCTAAATAATTATAGAAAGTACATATAACTCGGAAAAGTCACATTGGTACTTGCCAGGTTTCGAACCCATACGCTCATGCATGAGAAGCGGGCTCCTTAACCTCCGGGCCACCACGACATCTCCCCTCCGGGCCACCACGACATCTCCAACGTGCCGATCGTGCTAACGTAAAACAAACTCCCATTAGGGACTCAGTTCGAGTAATATGATAGTAGTATTTAATAGGATAGGATAGTAAAGTAGGTATAATTGAACACATTAAATAATATTTACTTTAAAAAAATCTATTACCTACATAAATTGAATTGAAGTTATGGATAATTGTGGTCTGTCATTTCTACATAAGTACTCCATTTTTTTTACTCCATTTTATTATATTTTATGTAAGTGATTTTTTTCTATAGTTTTACTGTTTTATTTAAGTACCTAGATGTAAGCCATGTAATCAACGTTTCAAGTAGGAAGCTTATCTGTAAGTGTAGTATTATTGGAATAAATAGAGATGATGAATCTGTCAAAATTCATTATGTTCACTTACCTACAGAGCTATTACACGCCATCAGCCTATAAGGGTGTGGGCAGCACGACCGCTTTAAACTCACCTAATTGTGTGACTTAGATACAGACTTTACCGTGCCTACTGAGCGAAGGCCTCTTCTCAAATGAAGAAGGTTTGAGAAATTAAGTCAACACGTTTGCTCAAGGCGGACTACTTCAAACTTGTACTTCGGTTGGCTACTTCAAACTTGTAGTTAGAAATTATAAAGCTCAGGTTTCCTCACAATGTTTGTCTTCACTGCTTATCAGTGATGTCTGAATAATTACAGGAAATTCATAGGATCGGGGTAAGTATCTTAATGACTACGTTCCATCTCTTTCCCCAAACCAGGGCCGCGGTACCTACATTATTTGATCTCGCGGGTCAGGATGTTGTTGACATTTCCAAAAAAAAAAAGTAATGAAATTGACTGGTTTTCATCATCCCTTTTATTCTATTCTTATTCTTAATGATGACATTTTAAAATTAATTACTAAGTAATAACTAGATTTATTGAAAGGAACGACTTAGTCACGTGAATCAACTACGACTTGCTCTACTAGTTACAAGTCACAACGGGATTCTTACTCGTGAGTTTGTCGCAACAATATTTCGCAGTCAACTGACAGAGCTTTTCTCAGTGACTAAGTAGTTTTTTTAATAAATTTATAATTAATAATCCTTTTATGGTATTGTGTAACCGTAGTATTAAAACTTTTAAGCTTAGTCTTATTTTAATCTTGTTCTTATTGGTGTGGGTAACTTGATAAATAAATTAGTTTTAATGCTATAATTATGGTTTTTCTTACCCTTTTTTCTCCAATATGGTGTGTTATATACACATCATATGATAATTTAATGAATCCGTAACGTTCACTTTGTAAACAATAAGCTTTCTTCCTAACTTCTCCATACAGCATAACAGAACGTGAAGGCCACGATCATTGTGTCAATAATAAAAGGACTTCGAAGTTATTACATTACCAGGTTTTTATGGGTGCGCATGTAATAGTGATGCGATGCTTAGTTTTTTCCATCTTTCTCTACGGGGCGGAAACATGGACGATTCGTCAAAGGGATCGCGGCAGAATAGACGCGCTGGAAATGTGGTGCTGGAGACGACTACTGAGGATAAGCTGGACTGAGCACCGCACCAATGTCTCCATATTAAAAGAGCTCCGCATTAAACGAAGACTTTCTTCGATTGTGCAAGCAAGAACTCTTAAAATGTTTGGCCATAGCACTCGAAGCGAAGACTCAATGGAACGATTGGTGGTGCAAGGGAGAATAGAGGGTTAGCGTCCTCGTGGTCGGTCACCAACTAGATTGACGGACATTTTAAAATCAGTGACATCCGTCTCAACTCTCAATTGTGGAGTGCGCGAGGAATTAGAATTTGCGCTAACAGGCAAAAGTGGAGAGAAATCGCAAAGGCAGCCACCAAGGACATACCATGACCACGAACACTCTGACAAGAGTGTACGATTGAAACGAATGTAATAGGCATGAATGTACAAAATGTAAGAATGAATGTACAGAAAAAATGTAAACAAGTCATTCTAAACGGGAAATATATTTTTCTGTACAAAACTGTACTGTAAGTGGCAATATGGCATTTTTTTTTTTTGGAACAAAGAAATATCAACAGAAATTTTTAGAAAACACGTCATCTATAATATGGATGAACTCGTTTACATTTTTATGGGATGGGGCGGCAAACGAGCTTATAGGTGGGGTTGCCCATGGAGACTTGTAACACCAGAGCTGTATATAACTGCCTGGCTAGTCTTTTGGAGGTAAGGGGTGGTGAAGGTAGTAGGGAGCTTGTGCCTCCGAAAACATCACCCACACTGCGAAACACAAAGCAAAAGTTGTTTCACGGCGTTTTTCCGTGAGGCCCTGGAATCACTGCGTAGCATAATTAAAAAAAAATCGTAGTCGTTAATTACAGTATTAATGTAAAAATTTAGGTGAAATAAATAATGTATTAAGTACTTAACGGCTTTTAATTTTAACAGTAGTTTCTTATTATAGGTTACAGTCTTGTTTGAAGAAGGCATTGTATTTTGTAAGTCTTTTGCATGGGTATAGATTCATTAAACTTCCTACAGATTTTGAAGCGTCGATTTAAGAATGAAGTTAAAGAAATGAGTGATATTTTCAAACTAAATTGTAAACGTTTTCAGGAGTTCACATTGAAAGAATCTGTGTTGGTAAACAAAGGAAACAGTTGATCATGATCAGCAATTATACCTTCGCGAGAACCACCACTGATGATAGGTACTGGAACTGCAGCAAGAAGTATTCTACCAAGTGTCCAGCGAAACTTCGGTTCAGCGATTCTGGAGCGCTACTTCACTATGAACTGGACCACAATCATGAACCACCATCTTATTTTAAAACGAAAGCAGGACATTATGTGAAACTGTCTTAAAACATAGTCCTACATACAATTCTCCATTTTCTTATAATAATTACCTGAAATTTACAGTTTACTCTTTTACGGAGGGAAGCTGGTTAAAAATAGGTGCTCCTCTCCTTGCCTGTTGCAAGTATCTTACTTTTTATTTTCTTAACTATCTTTCTCTATCACTTTACACATCACATTATCAGGCTGTAAGCGCCCACTGCTGAGCAAACGCCTTTTCCCACACGAAGAAGGCATTACGATGTTTTCCTCCACCGTTTGTCAATGGTGTCTAAATACACTTAGAAGTAGATGTAACTTAGAAACATTCATTGTCACATTGGTACTTGCCACGCTTTAAACCTTCACCATAACTCTTTATGATATAAAAAGATCTCTTTCGTGTATTTATCCCATTATTTGTTCATAGTTCACTTTTAGCCACCTCCTTCAATAAACTAGGTAAGTAGGTTTATATAGAGGTAATAGCTGCAATTTATTAGATGGACGATGTTTAAATGTTTTGCCTGTTTTAAATTTTGTGCAGTTTGGATGTCCTTGTGATTTTATCATTGACCAAGAACTAAGTAAACAGATTATGTGTATATAATTAAATTAAGAACAATTAGGAGTAATAATAATCGGATGTTATTTTATCAATCTGGATAAATTGTACAAAATTGTTGGCTTATACTTTTAGGATTTTTGTAGTAATTTGTTCCTACTATAATAGATATTTATTTTCTAAGATTTAGTTTGACTGAGTGACTGTTTTTTATGTCTACATTATGTTGGTGGAATCTCGTTTCTAAATATAAATATTAAGATTCTTTGTCCCTACCAAAGAAGATTTATAAATATGATTGTAAAGAAAACCTTAAGGGTTATTCTTAATTTATTTGATTAGGAATAGTAGTAGTCTGCTGTAGATTACTGTAAGGAGAATGTGTCATCGGATGATAAATATTATAATTATATCAATTGATAAACATACTAATGTAACGTGTTTTATTTCTACTTAGACTTCAATATATTAATAATTAAATTAAACACAAAATACGGACGGATTTTCACAAAAATCGTGCGTGTTTCCAGGTATTCCTAAAGAAAAAGTCCAAATGGATCCAGTCAGGAAACCATTGCCGTCGATCCATAAACATATGTTTATTAGAACTAACCATGGCAGTAGATATTGGCACTGCAGTGGGAAACACGTTAAAAATTGCCCAGCCAGGCTTCGCTCCGAAAAAGCTGGACAGCAGCTACACTATTACGAAGTAGATCTCTACTTACGACGAGAACAGGAGATGTTATAGATTTGCTCTTTTAAAATGCATAATATATTTCTAATTCTCATATTACACTATTAGTTGTGTATATAGTTCTCAGCAACGGCTCTATCGATTTCATATGCATATTCAGTAGATATTAGAATAGGTCGTAACCTATTTTAATTTATAATTTATGTGGCAAAATTACGCTTGTCGAGTCTTCTAGTCATATTATTACAAATGATGGTAATCACGCTGAAAAGAGGTTTTCATTTCTTTACCCTTTCTTTTTTCTTTCAAACACACCTGAAATCTTTAAAAAATTTGTGTATTTTCAGGGATTCATTTCGAAAAAATCCAAGTAGGTGAAGGCAAAAAACCATCGATTTTGCTCCAGAAGCACACGTTTGTCCAAACTACAAGTGCTGTTAAATATTGGCACTGCAGCGGAAAAAATGCAAAGAAATGTCCAGCCAAGCTTCGTTTCGACAAATCTGGAAATCTCATCTATTATGAATTAAATCATACCCACGACCCACCAATTTTGTATAAAACAAAATTCGGTTATTACGTAAGATTTTAAATAGAATAATACCAGTTTTAAATGTAACTAGCGGCTAGCACGACGGTAGGGTTGGTAGGCTTACAACCCCGGCTTCAACCATTTGATTTACTAGCGAACAGCCTCAGCAGCAAAGCAGGTTGCGGGTGCAAGAGCAATATTGTTCTGCTGCTGACATTTCCTCTCGCCTCGGCCTGGGCGGGAGAAGTAGCTTGATTGTTTTCCCCTAACTAAAAAAAAACTTGGATGGGCGGCGTTTGGGAACAGATGCCATGTTTTCTCATCGAAAATCCCAAAGTGCCTGAAGACCAGTTTGCTAAATCAGTGTGTGTTGATGATCTCTAACTTTTGGAATCCTGGATACCTTTTGCGCGACAAAGTCCGACGCGTTGGAAATTCGTCGAAGAATGAAAGTTACCGACATAGCTCGTAAAATCTGTTGGCAATGAGCAGGCCACGTTGCTTGAAGGATGATGATGCCTGGAGTGGCAACCATACTCATTACGTTCGCTCAAAATGTTTTAGATTTTTTTATAAATGTAATGATTTTTTATTTTATTGTTGTGACGAGAATAATCTCTGTCATAATATGCAATTTGTACTTACGTAGTAAAATATAAGAAGATATGGTCTTTGTATTTGAAAATTAAAATATGTATGCATCTATTTGAATAATAACTAAAATAAAAATGCTTAATCTGTTTCAACAAAACAAATGCCATTAAATCTAATAAATCAATTATTCCACTAGTAATGTAGATCTCAGAAAATGACGTTTTTTGACATATTACACAAATAATGATAATAATGTTTCATATTTTTATTTCTTTACCTTTTTTCTTTCTTACAAACACACAGTGTACGATCTGAAATCTTTAAAATTTTGTGTATTTCCAGGGATTCATTTCGAAAAAATCCAAGTGGGTGCAGGTACAAAACCATCGATTCTGCTTCAGAAGCATACATTTGTCCAAACTACAAGCGCTGTTAAATATTGGCACTGCAGCGGAAAATATGCCAATCAATGTCCAGCTAAGCTCCGTTTCGACAACTCTGGGCAGCTCGTCTACTATGAATTGAATCACTCACACGAGCCGCCAACTTTGTATAAAACAAAATTCGGTTATTACGTAAGACTTTAAAACCTGTTCACAACCCCGACTTCAACCATTTGTTTTATTAGCATACAGTCTCATCACCAAAAGGGTTGCTGATGTCCGATTTACTCCTATGCATGGTTGTGGGTGCAAGAGATATATTGTACTGCCGCACGACTCAGAGCAGGAGAAGGAACGGGGGTTTTTAGTCAGTAAGAGACTGACACTACGCTCGTTCAACCCAGGGCAAGAGAAATCATTTGATGGCTTTACTCAAACTTCTGGCCTTTTAGAAAGACTCAGTGACGCTCAGCGTGCAATGGAACGGGCCATGCTCGGGATTTCTTTGTGCGACAAAGTCCGAAATGTGGAAGGTCGCTAAAGAACCAAAGTTACCGACATCACATAACTCGTAAAATCCGGTAGCTGAAGTGGCAATGGACCCGAAAAGTACACAAGTGTCGACCACGGACCGTAGCGTGGGCAAACCTCCCGCTAGGTGGACCGACGTATGTAATTAAATAATAATTAAAATAAAAATGCTTATTTTTTTTGCCACCGAGACAAATGGTAGATTCTAAGTAATCCAATTTCTTGGATCAAAAATCTTCAACAAGTTATGTCAATCTCACAGAATGTTTTGACATACAAATAAAGATAATAACTTTTTAAAGTGTTTATTTCTTAACCACCTCTTTTTCTTTACAACCTTAGTTTCAAACTCACAATTTAAAATTTATCTTAATTACCAGGGATTTATTTCGAAAAAATCCAAGTGGGTGAAGGCAGAAAACCATCGATTATGCTCCGGAAGCATACGTTTGTCCAAACTACGAGTGACGTTAAATATTGGCACTGCAGCGGAAAAAATGCCAATAAATGTCCAGCTAAGCTCCGCTTCGATAACTCTGGGAATCTCATCTACTACGATTTGAACCATACCCACGAACCACCAACTTTGTTTAAAACAAAACAAGGTTGTTATATAAGACTTTAAAATGTTTAAATGTAATTAGCGGCTAGCGCTGGCTAGGCTAGCTAGCTTGCCCTTTCTTCGCACGGGTACACCCAACACCTTTTTTTTTTGCGACCCCGACTCAGAGCAGGAGAATGAACGCGGTAATTTTCAGTCAGAAGTACAAGAGTTTTATACTCCCTCTTGTTCCACCCAGGGCAAGAGAAATCATTTAATAGCTTTTTTTGTGAGGGGAAATCATCAAATGTCTTCTACCGCCCGGGGCCGGGCGAGAGGGAGTGTCAGACTCTTACTGACTAAAACCCCCCCTGTTCCTTCTCCTGCTCTGGGCCGAGGTTGCGGTGCCTCATTGCGCTTACCCCGCAACCCCGGCTGAACATCAGCCCTATAGGGCCCCGTCTGTGGTGGTCTATTAGCTCTTTGAGGCGCGCGTGGAATGCTACGCGCCGTAAGCTCGGGCCTGTTTCTGGTCGGGCGGCGAGCTGCCCTTACTCGCCAAACGCAGACCCACACTTAAGGTGGCTGGAGATCGTTCCTTGCATTTAATGGCTTTAATTATACAAAAAACCTCTCTGCTTTTCCAAATGTGTCTTTTATTGGGATCTTTTTGTGTTCTAATCAAACACAGTGTAAAAATAATGTTCCCTTACCGTTCATGTGTTATGACGGACCAAGGGACATTGGGAATGTAGAAATCAAGATATAATCTACTTGATATTATTATCTATGTTTTTTTAGGTTAAAGTGTATGTATAATGTCTTTTTTTGTAATGGAATAGAAACATTCGCGAATAAACGTGAAGAAAAATTGTCAGTTCATTCACTGTTTGTTCATAATCACAATACGGCATACCGCGGGTTAATTGTGTGTAAATTAATGGAAATAGATCTAAGTGTTGGTTGCTTTGTATTTGTAAACACACCCATGACAGGGATATAAACCTGTATATATGTATACATAAATAATGTCTACATATTTGAGATATTTGGTGTGTTATTTGACGATTGTATGTTTTGTGTATTCTGTGTTTCTGAATAATGACTGGAATAAAAATAATTATGTGAAAATAAAGTGTTATTTTTACCTACAAAGACAATTGTTATGGTAATAAATGTGAATAAATCCACAAAATTATATGAACCTTGTGTCAAACTCAGAAAATGAC